GTCATAAACTCCTACATTCACTGCGCTATCTGATTCTAGTTTAATATACATACATAAAATAGCGTGATTGGTTCAAAAGTGTGTTAAGGTTTTGAAAATTGGAATTTATTGAGCAATTTTCTAATTTGTTTATTATTAAGCACAAAGCTACACAATGCTCCCATGGGTATCGAAACTCGCTTTTCAGCGTTATAAGTTCTCAGACGTACCGTTGAACTACCGGATAAAGAAGGCGATTTTGTAATATTGGTAACCTTAAATTTATAACTGCTTTATTTTTAAAAAATGTTTTGTTTTTAATTACGAAAAACAAGCAAAACTTTTTCTGAGTTACAAAACCTACGTTACCTAAAAAACTTCCCACTAAACACGGTGCTAAGAAAATATCTTTGAAAATATTAGCTTCATAATCACATGGTTCTTCTAATTTTTTGTTGCTTGTTTAATTTCGTGCAAAAAGTTCCCCCAGATCTATCTACGCTAGCCGTTCTTCACGTTGAGAAGCTAGATTAGAGATAAAGCAACTAGTCAACACCACCCACCGCCTACTCGTAGAATACTTTAATCGTATATAACGCATCCACGGCCTCAAGATGCAGAGCGCGATTTTGTTTTGTCAGTAACGGGTTGTGAACCTCGGATCCAAGGTCGAGCACGCTAATTATTAGGGCCCACTCGGCCCTATAGATAAAAAACATTGCACTATATGATAAAACTTATATTTGTACTATTTAGAACAAAATGCACTAATTCAAAATATCGTTGTGGTCTTTAAGTTGATATAATACTATTCCAAGTCTCTAACGCAAAGACCAAATGCTATTACTTTTTAATACTAGTTTACTAAAACAGGAGCAAGCTTAATTTTGTTTTCTAATTCAAAAAGGTCTTTGTGAACTAAAATACTCGAAATATCTTTAATATTAGATAGCCTTTTTTTTACGTTAAATATTTTTAGTCAAGCGAAGTACGTAAAACACTGGATACATCACTGTTTTTATCTGACCAACTGTGTAGTTTTTACACAAGTCGCGTTGTTAATACAATCATGTTCGTTATACACTCGCAAATCGTACACTGTTTTTAATAACGTGTATACGTCAGTGCCCTGTGGCAAAGAGGAAAATCTGCGAACTTATAACGCTAAAAAAACGGGTTTCGATACAGATAGCCCATTATGTAGCTTTGTGATTAACTACAAACAAACAAATCACGTCAGCCAAGTTCCAAATGTGAAAATACATATATTTCTGCAGCTAAATTGATATTAAATTTATTAACCACATCCATATCTGAAAGATGACAAACGCCCTCCATTGGTAAGCGAAACGATAAAATACACGTTTTGAGCATAGATTTTTTTGGCTCTGTTTTTCATAAAAAAGATAAGTCAGGTAAACCTCTCGTAATATCATTTTTCCTACGTAGCATAACAAGTGAACATACTGATAGAGATTATTTCTGTTGAGAATTTTAGGCTTATCATTAGCAGGTAACTTGCATAATTTTTTCTTCTTTCTTCTAATAAAGACAAGGTACTATTATAAGCCAATAATAATAATGATAATATACTGACCACGCCTTTTAATGGTTTTAAGAAGAGATTAGACGATTTAAAGAAGCATTAACCAATGGTAGAAAAACAACTGATCCTAAGGAAATTTTTTAAAGCTATATTTGAAAAAGAAGAAAGGGAAAAAAACATTTTTATCAATGTTTCGAAATAATTGGGATAATATAGAAAGGAAGCTTCAAATGTGGATTGGATTATTTTGAGCCTACCAATTTTGGTTGAGGTTATTTCGAGAAAGTAAACCCGTTTCTTTTGGGTAAATTTGATTAAGGCTACTTTGAGAGAGAACATCGCTCTTCTGGTAACTACAAAGTTTGTTGAAATTATTTTGAGGGCATTCATCACTTTTCTGGTGTTTACAAATTTTGCTTGAGGTTACTTTGAGAGAGAACATAGCTCTTCTGGTAACTACAAGTTTGATTGAGGTTACTTTGAGAGAGAGCATCACTCTTCTGGTAACTACAAATTTTGTTGAAATTATTTTGAGGGCATACATTACTCTTCTGGTAACTACAAATTTTGTTGACATTATTTTGAGGTCATACATCACTCTTCTGGTAACTACAAATTTTGTTGAAATTATTTTGAGTGCGTACAACACTCTTCTGGTAAATACAAATTTTGATTGAGATTATTTTGAGAGAACATCACTCTTCTGGTAACTACAAATTTGGTTGAGGTTACTTTGAGAGACAAAATTATTCTTCTGGAATTTACAAGTTTTGTTGAAATTATTTTGAGGGCGTACACCACTCTTCTGGTGTCTACAAAATTGATTCAGATTATTTTGAAAGAATGTGACACTTCTTTTGGTGCCTAAAAATGTAGCTTAAGGTTACTTTGAGAGAGAGAGTGCACCATTATTTCCATGCGAGAAGATATTTGATTGAGTTTTTCTGTAGAGAAGTGGTTTCAATAAGTGTTAATTGTATTGTAATTTTGAGAAATCATGTGTTAAAACGACCTGGTTCTTTGTGTTAAGATGCCATTAATGCAACATTTATCAACTTGTTGGTCGCAAATACAAACTATTAATAAACGTTTTTCCATTTGTACAATAAACGGAAATCAAACTTAAGTCCATTTAAAATTAATTTACGTTCATTGCTTTAATAAATATTAAATATTTTAATATCCGGTGTCATATATAACATAGTTTGTGGGTTAAAGAGTTTGAATAAAAATGAAAGGCTTTTGATAATTCTAAGAACCCACGACTGAAAACAAAGGAGAATATGTTATAATATGTAAACCATATTATACATCTGCCATATCCACTGCCGACGAGACCATTCGTCAGTACCAGGGTTCATTAGGCAGGCTGGGATACTACAAACATAATAGTAATCTAGGCGCGAAATATATATATATATATTATCGAGTTTCATGAACAACAACTGTTATAGTGTGAGCCAGATTAAGCAATTGAATTGTAATTATTCTGCGTTATACAATATTAGAGTTGCCTAAGAGTTAGTAGTGAGTGCTGTTGACTAGATGTTTCTCTGGTTTATCTGTCAAATAGCCCCTGTGTAGCTTTGTACGAATATTCGAGGCTAACTAAAACCTTATCATGCTGGATCTCCAGTTTTTGTGAATGATAGTAGAATTAATTCAAATAAAATAATAAGAATAAATGATCAGTATTAAAAATAAAATAATGTTATGTTTTCATTTTGTTATGTTATAATTTTCATGTTAAACATCTGACTTGTAAACGACTTTAAAAAATTACTTTCGGGACGCGAACCATGGACTCTCGGATTAACATTCCGACACACGAATCACACCCTGTCTACGTGATAAGGGAAAGTAACTTGCATTATCAATATATTGTAACTGGAGGGTTCACGAGTTATAATCCAGCAAAGAAAAAAGGTGGGGGTATGATTAGCAAAAGTAGTTTGTCAAAACCATGCAGGAAATGCGAGCCTCTGTGTGTATGCGTGTGCAAACGACACCTTATGCAAAACAGGCGGCATATAAACATATCAAGGATGAGGACGAGTGTTGTGTTACCCCATTAATCTCGCGCTAATCGCCTGTTCAATTTGCAGTCTGAAAATAATGAAAGTTGAGAAGGGTACGAAAGACCAGACGACATGTAAAACATTAATTCCTCTTCTGCTCTTTTGATAAGCGAGATTTCATTAAGAAATTTAATTTAAATGGAATTCTTATTGTTAGATCAAGACCATACCGAACCGTACAAGTATTAATAATATTTTCTTGCGTGTTTACGTAACATATTGATATGTATCCCCCCCCCCTTTTTTTATAGCAGTCACCTTTTATGGTCAGTCAAATATTTCTGACTTATTTAGGAAAGAAAACTGGCTGAGGTACAGTACACTCGTTATGTGTTTTTGTGCAATTTCACCACCACAAATATTTCATTCCTAGGGTTTCTGTGCCGATGAACTTGTCATTATTACGATCTCAGCACCGTATATTACATATTGAAAACGTTTTATGGCTTCAAAATCATTAAAAAAACAAACTTGTAGATATACATTTATAAAAACTAATTTCTTACATTTAGTTCCATACGAAAAATATATCGTACTTTAATATTCTATGAAAACAGATGGGCTCATCTGAACATTTTATGTGATGAAAAACTAAAGTAAATTCAGCATACACTCCTACCTAATGTTTGTAATTACAGGGAAAAGCTGCGTAAAAAAATACAAAATAATTATGAACAAGAATATGTGTGATTAGTGCTAACGGAGCATTATCAACACACTGATACCGAAGTGTGTAAAATGTAACAATGGAATTTTGTTTTTAACTGCTATACAATGTGTTATCCTAAAGTAAACCTTTAAAGAAAAGCAATACCATTTCAGAGATTCGGGAACCACCAGCTTTAATTAAGTATCACTGAATTAAAGAAACTGCAATAAGAGAAAGGAGTGAAAGTTAGAAAAGGTGCCAGGTATGCAGATGTCCCGAAAATAATTATTTATAATGAAGATGGGCGTTATATTAAAACGATTTTGAATATGCAAATCCGCGAGTCATGTGACAGTCACAGCCACTATGAAGTCACGGTGGAACGGAATGCATCACAAGTAAATTTTGACATTATTTTGTTTTTGGGAAGGGTACGTAAGAGCCTTTTCTGACGCAAAATATTCATACAATCAGGTCATAAAGGTGTTTAACTTGAGGATTTATAATATAGCATTAGAAAAAAAAATGTATTACCTTAGGACACAAAAGACGATCCAGAAAGAGACCTGCAACAAGTCGTAATCCAGTCATGGTAAGCAAATTATAAATGTGTGTTGTAATCCTACTCCAGGTTATTCAAAAAATGTATAATGACTCCTTTTTTGTTTTTATTGTGTAAAAACAATAAGTCTCGCACTTTTTTGTGTGAATGTAATAAAGACAATAACAACTAGGGATAAAAACTCACCTCTGTCATCAGCAAGGTAGTAAAAAACCATCATTTCGCGGACGAATTCCTTCAAAAATAAAGAACACAGTAAGCAATCAATTCTACAAGAAAAATACCTGTCTTTTATGCGTGTGTACTGATCAAATTTATTATTGGATACTCTTAAATGTGTTCTTTAAAATATAAGAGTGCCAAATGAAGATTGTAATTTCAAAGTTTACATTTTACTTCAGTAAACTACTTGTTGTTATATTATTCTACTGAGCAAACTTATATTTAAAATGAGAAGAAATATAATTTAACAGCTGCCTCCAGGATATAACTTCTAAAATTTATTTACATAGCGTATTGGTCGAGTTAATAGAATAAGTCAACCTACGCCCTCTGTGATAACAAAACTGCCATAAAACGCCTTAGGTATTCTGTAATACACCGCAATATCATTTGAAATGTTTATATTTTCAGTATAAACACTCTTACAGCAACAAAGTGGAATAAACACTGACAATTATATAACTATTGACTTGGCAAAGCAAATCATGCTTATGTTTACTTTGAATTGTGGAAGTAATACGGTAAATATTAATACTGATATACAGATATTAGTACCAAAACATTATAAAATCACCTACGCAAGAGTTACAATAAAAGTTTGTCTAGATTTTTTTTTACAAATACCGTCTTAAGTCTACTTGTCAGAAACCCACAATTGTCCTGTTTCAATAACTTTATTTAAAACAATTTCTACTAACATAAATATACGAGATTAATAAGAATAATGTACCCTGAATGCATAACATAAATATAACAGATTGATAAGAAGGATGCTCCCATAATGTATAACATAAATATAACAGATTGATAAAAAGGATGCTCCCATAATGTATAACATAAATATAACAGATTGATAAGAAGGATGCTCCCATAATGTATAACATAAATATAACAGATTGATAAGAAGGATGCTCCCATAATGCATAACATAAATATAACAGACTGATAAAAAGGATGCTCCC